CGGGAGCGGGAGCGGGAGCGGGAGCGGGAGCGGGAGCGGGAACGGGAACGGGAACGGGAACGGGAACGGGAACGGGAACGGGAACGGGAACGGGAACGGGAATTACTTTAGAATTATTTTGGTTACTGTTGCCCAGGCCTTTTTAAGGGCATCGTCAATCTGTTTGAAATATGTGTACGCCAAGGTCGACCTTTCCCCACTTTTGTTCATTCACAATTGCTCTATAAATTTGAGCTGTTGCACTATCATTGTGCTTTTCACGACAATGTGTGGAATGATTCTACGCATCAAATACGAACAAAATTTCTTTGAGGACGCCCTGTTGTAACGATTGGTATTTTTTTATTTGTTTTGTAATTATTTATGCCCCTAAAACAGCGAGAAATATTTGGTTACCCTGAATCGAATAAATAGACGCTTGTTATGTATTGCTGCTTTGTAGCAATAACCAAAAATCCTAGGTGGATTAGTCATTATTGCAAAATAATGGTGGTAGTTGCTAAAATCTCGGGAAAAATGAGACATTACCATACTTATAGGATTTAGGCAGTCAAATTATGAAATTAAAAATTTTATGTGTCAAATGTCTTGTGTACTTTAATAAATAATGTATAAATTTAAATATATTTCTTTTACAACGCGCAAGTATATGTTACTTGCGTTAATAGAATAAAGAGCGTTTAATGTAGCTTCAAATAGAGATGACCTGATTTTATTACTACCACTTTTCAATCTTTACGGGTTATGTTAAGCTCCTCTCTACGGTGTTGCCATATCCTGTAGGCAGAATTAAAACTTATGTTGGTTTAAAAACAAAAATAAAATAAAATCGGCTTTATTCCACAAGCAAAATACATAAATTTCAAACATTAAACAAAGAAGAAGTACAAATTAAAAATAAATTCAAGGTAAAATTTAGTGGAACAAAAGTAAAATTTAGTAGATTTTTAAGAACTAAAATTACATGGACTAGTCTCCAAAGCTTCGGTTGAAAACATAAATGTCTCGAGTCTTGGAAATGGCAAAACATCGTCAAAGGCGCGAAATTTTCGGAACGAATGCCCGGCATTTTTCTTACTAATTCAGGAAAGGGCCTCCATGCCGAACGGTTACCATGCTGGTCTGTCACGTAGAGTTTTTTTTACAATACTAAGTGACGGGACGAACGATTCATGTGCCTCATGGTAAGCGACACGCCTGTACCCAACAATTGCAGTGCCACTCAGAGCTTTAAATCACAAAATCCAATGTGCCTGTAATTTCTCCAGCAACCTTACCCTTCGAAACCGAAACGCATTAATGTTCACATTACTGCTTGGCGGCAGAAATAGGTAAGGTGGCAGTACTTCCCTGGATAAACTCTTTTGCAGCTGTAGCAGTAGCTACTAAAGAAGTTTCGAATCCCGAGCCGGGAGAAGATAAAGATAAAGATAGATTTATTTGTGGAAGTATTGTATGTGAGAAATATTTGTATGGCCTACATTTATTTATCTCGTGAATTTGTGGTTGTCTATGTGTGTCCATAGCACCCGCGATGCAGGGTTTCCATAGTGCGGGGCTATGAGTGTGTGCTTTAAAAAAAGTTCCGCATAAAGATTGTCAAGTATCGAATTAAGTGCCAGTGTGTAAGTATTAAAACTAGTTGTTTGCACTATACAGATGGCACGTGCCTTACTTTTGTCCTAATGTACTCAAAAGATAGCGCGATTAGATCTGGACGAAATCTATGACAATGAGATCTACTGCTAAAACTTTTTACGAATATTCTCGATTTGTTCGAAAAATATTCTTTTAAAATTTAATACTTTCCAAGTTAACAACCTAGTCTCTCCACCAATCAAAAGTAATGGCCACACCGTCCATAGGATCTCATACATATTTCAGTTTTTACTTCACTCGCATTACTGCATTCTATTACAAAAAGATTCTGCCTTGACATTACATTCTGTTAGACAAAATTCAAAAACAAAATCATATACATATACAGTAGGGGGTTTCAAGTTTTAATGACTTCGGCGGCTTAGCGGTTAGCACTGTGGTCGCTAAAAAAACGACGTCTCGGGTGCGATTCCCAGCATGCCTAATTTGGGAAACGAACTTTAATACTTTAATGCTCACATTACTGCTTGGCGACAGGAATAGGTAAGGTGGAAGAACTTCCCTGGACGAACTCTTTCACAAGAATCTGTAGTCTGGGTATTTTTAGGTATTTTCGGAGCTAATTACGTTACTCGTGTCTGTTTAACACAAGGTTCTTTCGTTTCAGATCAGGCAATTGGATGGTATTGTGTGGCTTGTTGTAATTTACAATTTCAAAGTGGTCGTTTCAAAAACACACACATTAAAACTAAGTGTCCAGGGATCAAGCACGCTTTTGCTAACTACTGAAAATCAGATTCTTTAATAATTTTTTTTAACACCAATGGATTTTTTCTAGTCAATTTCATTTTCAAATTCATATTATAAATTACGATTACAATTAGTTAGTCCTACAGACCACACACATAGTAGGCCGATGGCCTGGTGAGGATTGCGAGAATCCGCTGGACGCAAACAGCACACCGGTCGTTATGACGATCTTTGGGATCGACCTATGTCCGCAATAGATGTCTTTCGGCTAAAATGAGGTGAGATGAGACACCTGCAGTGCGGACTTCAAAAAATCTATCGTTATCATTAAATCGTTCAGGTAGAGTTGGACACCGAGTAATTACTAAGTTTTCCATAAATTAATATGGAGTATGTAAGACTAACACAGGGAAATATATTCTTTTTACTACAATTACCCTGATGTATCCCACTGCTGGGCAAAGGCCTCCCCCTGATCCCTCTGTGCATCCCGATCCTGAGCTAACTGGACCCAAGCTTTATCGTAGGCGTTCAATTTCTCTCGCCATCGCTTCCTCGGTCTGCCGCGGCGCCTTACGCTTTTGGGGCTCCACTGGGTTATATTGGTCCACAGGTCTTCAGGCATGCGGTAGATATGACCAGCCCAACTCCGTTTCAACTTCGTAGATTTTTGGGCTACAACAGCAATTTGAGTTAGGGAGCGCAGTATCGTGTTCCCAATTCGGTCGGTCTGTTTCACATCAAGTATGCTGCGCTCCATTGCTCGTTGACAGAATTCGAGTTTGGACTTTTGGATCTCTGTAAGTGACTAAGTCTGCGCGCCTTAAGTTGTATGAGAAGTATGCACGTGTTCATCGGCTTCTTTTTGAGAGACATTGGGAGAGTAACCCTCATAAGATTTTTGTGAACCAAAAGCTCCTCCAGGCATTTTCAGTGCATCAAATTATAAAATTGACCAAAAAAGATGGAAGATGTTAAAAAAAACTAAAAAACTTGATTTTCAGTCATTGGTAAAGACGTGCTTCATTCATGGACACCTTTGATGTATGCATTATAGTTACTTACGAAGACCGTAAATTAATATTAAAAACACATACCAAATTTTTTGCTGTTAAAACAATGCCGTGCTGTTCTATGCGGTGGTGTGGGATCAACAAAACAAAACATCTAATTACAAAACAAACGGAATCAAATTTCATCGATAATTAAATATGTAATTGTGCAATTTTCGTCCATTACAGCAAAGCTCAAGTCGACTGGTCGATTTGAAGTGAAACAGTTAACGACACCCATTGACGACACCCGTCAACAGTTTCGAACTCACGCTAGCCAATCGGAGCGCAGTTGTCACAGTAATGATATGGCAGAATAGTTTTCAGACAAATTAAAAGATATTTCGCCTCTATTTCTGGTTATATACTCGATGAACCTGATTGATTATCTAAAATTCCGACATGTTTAACACTGTTTTTACGTTATTGTAATATAAACGTTCCAATATTTCTTTACAAGCACACAGTTTAATTTCCAATGCTAAACAATCGCAGAAACTAAAAAACTCGACATAAACTTAAGACTTGTAAACTTTTAAACGAATTCACCCGAGCAGACGACGTCTTCACGTTTTCAATTCCAGTTCCGTAAATATTAGTTAACTATCAACTTGAAAGCAGACAAAGCAATATACATCCGGCGTGAACAATAGAAAACACGGTGACAATAACGAGAAAACGGAAAGAGGAAACAATGAAAAATGTAGGAAAAAAAACAAGATAAACGATTCGTTTCTTATATTCGATTTATTGTGCCTCCGAGCTTTATGTGGGGTTTGCCGTAGTAGGAAGCACTATAAAATAGGAAATCTGGCATAGCATCATTAAAAATATAACAGGGAACATTGTATAAGTAGAATAATCGCAACCTGGTTGTTACCTTAATTGCGTTACTCCCGAAGGATGTTTCTTGCATTAATTCGAAGAACTAGTTACTTTGAAGAAAAACAAAATACAAGGCATCCTATACACAAGGTGTTAAGGTGATTGCTTACATCCGAAATCAAATGAAACCAAAGTGAGTTTTTAACGGACTTCAGAAAAAGGAGGAGGTTCTCAATCCGACTGTATGTTTTTTTTTGTATGTATGTTACGCGATAACTTCGGCATTTGTGAACCGATTATGATGATTCTTTTTGTGTAGGAAAGAGGGTACCACAGTATGTGAATATAATTTGAATATAATATTTCTTTCCAACAAAAAGAATCATAAAAATCGGTTCACAAATGTAAAAACAATGTAGAGAAGCTCCTCCTTTAAAACAAATTTAACCCAGTTAAAAAAGGAAATAAATTAAGTCAGCGTTTGTATTAGATGTTTACAAACACTTGATTTTCCCGATCCAACTATGCCTCATATCTTTTTTTAGATTTATTTTACAATTAATTCTATAATTATTATATTACTCGACAAGTTCCATGTGTCTGTTGTTTCACCAGCACTCTTACTCTTCAAAACTGGAACGCAGCAATGCTCTCATTACTACGTGGCGGCAGAAATAGGTATGTAGCACTTCTCTGGACCAGCCTCTCTTTCGCATGGATTTCTACTGCTACTGAATATGAAATACCTGACATTTTATGAGATTTGAAAGTATACTAAAAGTTATTCGCATTAAATTTGTACTGTTGTTACGCAGTTATTAAACGAATTGTTAAAACAGTAGAGCTTCTAATGAAAAAGGTTCATCCAGAGAAGTACTGCCACCTTACCTATTTCTGCCGCCAAGCAGTAATGCGAGCATAAGTGACCCAGACCAGAACCAATTTAGAACAGTTTATTACCCAATTTGATCCGGTAATCGGATCTTTTACCTGCTTGTCCATCGTTCACAGTACAAACCATTGGGCCGCCAAGGTCGTCAAAATTTGAAATCAAATTTGTTTTTAACGACTTCAAAAAAGGTTTCAAAAAACGTGTGTTCATGATTCTTTTTTTGTTGGAAAGGGGATACTTCCATAGTGGTCCCATTTCATTTTGAAGGAAATCATCCACCTCTAAGGGTGGCTGTTCACGCATGAAGTTTCGTTTTTATAAATAGCGCCTAAATTTTCTTAAGGAACAATTATTTTGATGGTTGATTTTGGTATTTCTCCAATTCAAGGTGTTTTTCTCTCAATATTCTTTGAGTAGTGAGAACCGATTTTTATTATCTCCAGTGTCAAGTCCTGTATAGTGGCGAATTTAAGGATATTTCAATAAAACTTAGCAAATAGACGTATTTCCACGAACTTTTGAGGTCAGATTTTTAATTCTCTGTACTGAGATTATACAACCTATGTTTGTAATATCGAAAAGTTTCAATTTTTAAATTCTTGATTGCACTTTAATTTTGATTTGATGATTTTATAGCCTTGATTTTTAATTTTGTAACTTTAATTAATTGTTTATAATTGTTGAGTTTTATAAATGGCCTCCTTTGTACATGTGCAAATAACTTTAGCCGAGTAAATTGTAACACTAGCGTTTAAGTACTTTTTACTAACAACTATTATGGATTGTGAATGTCTGAAACAAATAAAATTAGGGAAGGAAACTATTTTTACGGATTTAAATCGCGTATATTTGTTTTTTCCCATGTGACTGTAATTTCACCAGCACCCTTACCCTTCTAAATTGGAATGCAGTAATGCTCACATTACTGCTTGGTGGCAGAAATAGGTAAGGTGGCAGTACTTCCCTGGATGAACTCTTTCAAAAGGAGCTCTACTGCTACTAAATCCTTTTACTACGATGGCAAGCATTACAGTATACGCCATCGACATTATAAGAATCATAAGCTACTTTCTTGAGATGCTAGCAGTAACACGTTTTTCAACAGCTCAATACAAATAGTAGCTAATGATGTACGACTTCAACATATTTATGATATTCCTAGCCGATTTCAGTGTTGCAAAGAGCAGAGCGCAATAGATGCGTTATCTAGACGTCCAGGGCCCTCTCTCATCTTTTATTCATTTCAATTTCTCCCGCGTGTATCGGTGATGCCGCTTTCTGAAGCTCGTTGCCCTGAAATCAGGTGAGATATCGAAAAGCGTGTTTCTTATTATAAATTCACATACCGATGTGGGCGAGTGACTATTCAGAAGATGGCAAAACTTTTTATTTATTTTAAATTTCTTATCAAGGGTGTTAATTTGAATACATTACTTTAAGAATAGGTAAAAGCCTGTGTGTGCATATGAAGGGAATGTGATGTGAAATCAGCCTGCAAAATTTGTATATACGAGAGACGCACTATAAGTTTCCGGAATGAATAAGAAAAAAATACTATAAATGGTCAGAAATGAATTTATTTTAATTTTTTTGTGAAATTACTCCACTAGTTTGTTACAATTATCATATTTATTTGTTATATTCACTTTTTAATGTTGAACAATAAAAAATATACCTACGAATAAAGCGTCAATTTTCTTAAAAGGAAAAGTGCTTTACTTATTCATTGTCGAGTTCTTAGGTTTTCGCGGTTGTTACACATAGGGAATGAAACTATTTTTCCGGATTTAAATCGCGTATATTTGTTTTTTCAACCAAACCAACGTTTCGGGTCCTTTACAAGTCCCATGGTCACGGTTCCTGTAAAGGGCTCAGGGCTAGGGCAAGGGCTTGTTTGAAAAAACAAATATACGCGATTTAAATCCGAAAAAATAATTTCAATCCCTATGTGTTGCTGCTATGTTTTGGGATCGTAACTATAAGTCCATGTTTCTCACACCAATTCACTTTTTAATGTTTAACAATAAACAATATACTTACGAATAGACCGTCAATTTTCCTAAAAGGAAAGGTTCTTTACTCATTAATAATAATAAATACGAATATTTTTCGTCTTT